GTCCGAGGCCAGCACTGTCAGAGAGCATGCATACTGGCATGCATGTGTTCATACATGAATGTGCGTGTGTGTTGGGTGCGTGGAGTCACATGCACAACAGAAGGTGTGGGTGTGCATGTGTCGCGTGCATGCGTGTGACCCGCAGTCATTCGCCCCCCCTCCCCCCCCCCCACCTGCCGCGCCAGCAGGATGTGCTCCCGCGTCTGGGGCATGGGGCCGTCCGCGGCAGACACCACCAGGATGGCGCCATCCATCTGGGGGGAGCAGGGAGGGGGACAGGAGAGGATAGGTGAGGGGGACATACACGGGCGCCATTTGCTTGGAGGCGGCACGGACCGGCAACCTGCCGCGCAGGGCAGGGGGGAGTGGCAGCCTGGCTCCACGCGACGCCACACCAAGCAGTTCCGTTGCCAGCTGGGGCCATGCGGGTCAGTCCGCCACACGACGGCCACAGCCGCGCGGCTGCCGACACCCCCCTCCCCCAGTCCGCGCCTGCGCTGCGCCCGTGATCATGTTCTTGACGTAGTCCGCGTGGCCAGGGCAGTCCACGTGGGCATAGTGGCGGTTGGCGGTCTGGTACTCAACTAGGGGTGGGAGGGGAGCGGCATTGGTGGCGGTTGAGGCCGGCGGTTGGTGCGCAGCGGCCGAGAGCTGACGCAGGGAGAGTGAAAGCCGCGCTCTCGCGTGCTCCTGGCACACACGAAGCCGCTGCCTTGCGTCGCAACGCTGTGCGCCCGAGCGAAGAGCTCCGGGCGCCACCTCAGCGCAACCGCTGCCCGCCCCCCAGAGCCCGCCATGCACAGCTCCATCCCCAAGCCCCGCCATGGCGGCAGGCGCAAGCCAGATCCTGTTTCCTTGCCCCCCGTTTCCCCCTTGGCCCCTCGCCCCGCCCTGCCCCTCCACGTTCACTCGCATGCTCGCTCACACGCAACGTACTCCCCCCCAAACACACGCACACACTCGCACACGGTGCGCCCCCCACATTTACACTCATGTAACACCCTGTCACGGACCGTGTGAGGCGGAGATGGTGATGCCGCGCGCCTTCTCCTCTGGAGCCTGCGGTTCAAAGGGGGGGAGAGCAGAGCGGGCACGGGGCGGTTCATGCATGGCCCGGGGTCTCACCGGGTGCTGCAATGCTGTGCAGCACGGCAGCAAGCAGCTGCCTGCCGGCCGCGCCTCGCCAACCGCTGAGAACGCGCGCTGTGTGCAGGTTTGCGCGTGAAGCGGCGGTCGGCGCGGCAGCGGCTGCCTGCTGCGCCGTGCAACCCTTGGTGGGCCCTGGCGCGCCCCCGCGTAGAATATGCGCGGGCACCTTGTCGATCTGGTCAAACGGCACCGCAGAAGTGGTGCCATCCGCCTCTGACAGCACCTGGTGGGGTGCGACAGGTGGGGGCGGTGAGGTGCAGCTCATGGCGCAAGGGTTTGTTTCAAAGGAGGGCAGGGGCGTGACAATCAAGGGTGATGGAGGGACAAACCCCCTGCGAGGGCTTGCCGATGCACGCTGCTTGGTGGTGGGTGCAACACCGCGTGCGTGCGTGACGGCAGCGCCCCAGACACGCCTGCACAGCGACCGCAGCAGGAGGGCTGCCGGCATGGCAGTGGTGCTGCTGCGGGGTGCTCGGTGTGGCGCACCCGCGTGATAGCGGCCGTGAGGGTGGTCTTCCCGTGGTCGACGTGCCCAATGGTGCCCACGTTGACGTGCGGCTTGGTGCGGCTGTTGATGTCGTACGACAGCAGCCGCGCCGCGGCGGCGCGCGCCCACGCCGGCTGCTGCTCGCCCGCCCTGCGTGCCCCCGGGTGGCCGCGGCGATGCGCGTGTTGTTCGCGCAGCAGCAGCAGCGCGCACATGCCCCAAGGTTGGCGTACAGCTTCGTTCCTGGCTTGCCCCTGTCCTGGAGATTACTTGCCACTTAACGAAGCGAACGCGGCTAGCTGTGCTCAATGAGCGGTCCTCTGATCTCCACGCGCTGCAGTCACAACCAGGTGATCTCGACCCAGGCGGCTTGGCATACCTGAAAACCGCTCCCTCCACGCTATTTAGAAGCTGACCGTGTTGAAAAGCGCTGCAGGCCCGCCTCGCGACCAGGCCCCAGAGCGCCATCCTGCCGCGGTTTCGATATGCCACTCCGGCCGCTGAGCAACAGAGGATTGCACCACAGGCTGAGCTCCGGTTGTCATCAAGCCAGGCGAGTGCCACTGGCCGTCTCTCTTCCGCCAATCGCTCGCGCGTGCTTCCAACTGCAGTGCAGGCAGGTACGGGCCATTCAGATTCAGCAGCCACGAACTACAGGAGATTTGAGAGCTGCCCGCTTCGTCCTGGAATCTGGTGTGGCTGTACACCAGCCAGCTGACTTCTTGACGGCGGCATACCTAGGAAGTCAGCCGACAGTCAAATGTTCCCACAGCCGAGCTGTGCGGGGCCACCAGGTGGCTGGTTTCTGTTCTCTGGCACCGTGCGCACCAAGCGGCTCAGGTGACGCGGCCTCGCTGCATAAAAGTGAGCACTCCACTGCGCATCTGCGCATTGGTGTGGCTGAGGCTGTCGAACCGCTGCAGCTGGCGCTTGCCTGCAACACCCCCAACTGGTGCTGGCGCCGTGCCCTCGGCTCGGCTGTGCGCGGTGCACCGCAGCAACGTAACGCTTTACCTGTTTGGGATTCTGAAGCTTTTGATTGCAACGGTGATTCACCAATGTGCGAAACACAAGGTTCAAGAAAACCGGCAAACAGCAGCGCCTTCAACGGGTGGGGCGCCCCTGTCAACAAGAAGTTTGCTCACGCGTGGCCTTCCAAACCCCCAAAAAAGCGGGATCCCCTGAAAGAGACCCCTGGAGTGCGCATGCCGCGCCGCAGCGCCCCCTGGCGGCACTCGGTGCCGCCTCCGGGTACCGGCCGCCAGCCGCGTGTGAGGCACGGCAGCAAAACGGGGAGCACGTAAACCCGCAAGTCGCGGCGACTCCGGGGCAATTCTCGATGCGGCCTGGCACGGTCGTCCGGTCATCAAAGCCACCAGAAAGGAAGGATACAGGAGCAGAAGCGCGCTAACGGCACGAGCCAGGCTTGGCCCCAACCCCAAACCACACACATCTGCCGCAGGCCGCCCTAGTGCGCGGCGCCGTTCTCGGGGCGCACGCAGAGGCGTGCGTGGGGGCGGCACCGCGGCCCGCCCCCGTGCCCTTACGTTTTTCGGCATCAAGTCGTCATCATCATCCCACTCAACGCATGTGCGCCCGGCCTTCGAGAAAAGACCCCCCAGGCAGCACACCCTAGCCGCTAACACGGCTGTGCATCCCACCGTACTAAACCCCACTCACGCAGTCCCGCACACATAGCATCGAGACCCACCCTCCAAAACGAGGCCCCGCCGCCGCCAGGGCGCGGCAGTGCCGGCGCGGCCATGCACGCCATGCACGCGGGCCGCAGGGCGGGAGCGAGGGACACGGCCAACAACGGCAGCCGCCGCCGGCTGGCACCAGCGGGACGCACGCCGCCCGGGCTCAAGGGGCGCAGGGCGCGTCAGGCGCGCGCGCCGTCCCGTGCTGAAGCACGCGCCGCGCCCCGCGGCCCTTACAGGTAGTGCATGGTGCCCCCCAGACGCGGGTGCACCCGCACCTCCGGCGGCGGCGGCGGCCCCGCGGCCGCGCTGCCGCCGCCGGCGCCGCCGGCGCCGCCGGTGCCGCCCGCGTCGTAC